AAGTTTTGTAGGCAACGCATCGAATGCTGATGAGGTCAGGAAAAAGCCACAGAAAATATGCATCTACTTTTCTCTTAAATCAAAAGCAAACAAACATGGCATTGATTACTGAAAGGGATATCCACCAAGCAAGAAACTGATTAAAAAACCCCACTGTGGATGTCAAGTCTGTTACAGTCATACTTGAGACTACGGTCAAGGAAACAACTGAAGAGTGTTGTGTTGTCATCCTGCATTTACTTTCCATCAGTAACTTGCCTACAAAACTACTCGAATTACAGGTTAAAAGAAAATGTTACTCGTCACCAGCACAGCCAGCTGACCTTCGTATCTGAAGGATGAGATTATGCTCATTCTGCTTTACATATTACAAGTAAATCTTAAGGGCAAAATGCGTTGCTTACCACAGAACATGCAGCACTTCTGCAGCTGCCCTGGATTAGTTCGTGGGCATTGTTTTGTTAACAAGCTAGGAAGACGGAGGGAAACACCAAAAACTCAAACACGGATGCTGAGACAATTAATTCTGAGACACACTAACGTCACTTTTTCTGGTTACAAACGCACCAAATCCAACTGAAGCAAGTATGGGAGGAGGGGAAAGATAAACATAGGGTAGTAGGGTAAAGTTATAAAAATGGTAACAAAACCCAAACATTTTTTAAACCAACTCTCCTCTTTCATACTGCAACATTACCTCACATGCAGGTTTTTTTACAAACAGCAGCAACAACTGAAAGGAGAAACTTACTCAGTCAGAACATTTAATAGCTTGGCAGAACAGTACCATGACAGTACCATTCATTAACAACCCATGAAATGATAAAGCAGCCTCCAATTCAGTATACTTGTATATAGGCACCATGGATTTTAGAAGACAATTTCACTCTCTGTGTGTTCTCTGTGTAATATATACATGTAACTCACTATCACAACGGACTTTGTTCAAGTGAATTCTATTATTTCAAGAGTAAATGATAAGTCAATGCTTTTACAGCTGTTTGTCTGAATTTACACCGTATTTCTCTGCAAGGTTCACTTAGCTAATTCAACACTTGCAATTTAGCTAGGGGGTCACATTACAGTGGCTTCTTAAAAAAAATAAAAATAAAAACAGTAGGAATCTCTTACCCGCAGTGACCAGGTAAGCATCGGGAACCGTGATGTCGCAGACGTAGGGTTGCCTAGTGGTGGTCACAGCAGAGGTTATGACCACAGGTTCAGATGGAGTACTTGTGGCCAGAGGGGTGGAGGAGAACGTCCCCAGGCTGCCTGCAGCAGTCGTGCCATAGCTGCCTGTGGCACTGGTGGCAGCGGTCATGGGGACAGAGGTGGCAGCAACCGATGCATCAGGACCAGCAGTTGTACTGCTTCCTGCTGGAGCTTCATACCCATTGGGAGGGCTGGAAGCTGGAGGAAACTGCGTGGCAACAAATGACGTGGTCACAGACACAGATGCTGTAGGAGAGGGCATCAGACTGCTGGTGTCAGCGTGAGACGTCAGGATGTCAGGGTCTGCGGGAGGAAGGGCTGTGTGGGCACTGCCCTCGCTGCGAGATGTTAAAAGGAGCGTGGGGTTAAGTGTAGCACCAATATCCTCATCAGAAGCTGGAGCAGTTGAGAACAAAGACAAAGATATGTTTAAGACAGGAGTTGCTGGAAAGGTAGTAAACAAAGAGATCAGATTTGTTTCACTGAGCAAGACGCTGCTGGTAACAGACTGGGTGTCAGAAGCGGGCAGCACCAGGGTAGGAACCACGGAGTGAGAGGCGGAGAGTGAAGGCTCCAACTGAGAGGTAGCTCCTGTAACAGCTGAGGTAAACGCAACTTCAGAGCCCGCTGCCAATACTGAGGCTGCTTCCAGAAACACCGACGACTCGGAGTGAAACCCTGATGATGGTGTTATTTCAGGAAACCGTGTACCTGGAACAGAGGATGCGTTTGAATAAAAGTGAGATGTTTGGCTGAGAAAGAACTGAGAAACCTCGGCGTCAGTGACAGAGCTGACAGTGGTAGCTAACTCCCAGCTGGAAACCGCCTCAGAAAGTACTGATGTCCCAGTCAACAAGGTCTGAGGTAAGAGTGCTGATAAATCACTTCGCATGACAGAGGAAGAATTTAGCACGGCAGGTGATAAAGACAAGTAGCTAGGTTCAATAAGAAACGGTGTTGATAAAAGACTAGATGGAAAATCGGAAATATTTAAAGACAGTTCTTCCCTTGTAGACGTCTTGTCAAGCAAAACCACAGATTCTGATGGCATTAATTCTGGCGACTCCAGCAAAGTTGTACGACTGACTGCAAACGATGCTGTTGGCTCAGTTGGGATGAAGGTGGAGTCAAACAGAACGGTGGTAGCATCAGGTGGCTCATCTAAACGAGCGCTTGGGGTCAACAAAACCGTTTCCAGAACAGGGAGGGAAAGCAGCGCATCAGAGATGTTCAATAATGTTCCTCCAGAGAGCTGATGGGAAGAAGGAGAAATTGTTATAGGTGTTCTGTTGTCAAGGACCCTGTCCATAGTGCTTAGTAAAAACACACTTGAATCAGGCATTTCTGCAAATCTTGAAGAAAAGGAAACAACGGGTCTTGATGGAAAAGAAGTATCAAAAATCTCAGGCGTAGGCTCCTCTATTTCATACCCGTCAGTAATTATAGTTGTAAATGGAGTTATGCCTTGTACTTCAGAGGCTTTGAGAGACAGAGTTTCAACATCATCGCCCGAGCCCATATCATGCTCTGGGGAAAAGCCTGCTTCTGGCAGAAGTGACACTGAGTCACAGTAAAGACAAGAACTGTACGATCGCATAAAAGGCACTGGACTCCCGAGCTCACTAACAAGCTCTGATTGACTTGGGATTTCTGAATTGGCAGGCAAATTTGGTGGTCTACTGGAGAATTCACGTGTAAACAGGCTGGCATTAAGAACCGCATTAGAGTCCGTGGGAATGGCAGCTGAGTGAAGTGGGAAAGACGCAAGCGGAAGACTAATAGGAAACAAAGCAGGCTCAGCACTGGCTGCTGAAGCTGGCATGGCCCAGGGAATGCTTGGAGTGGAGTAGGTCCTTACACTGAGAGTTTCTGCTGCCCGGCTACTCACAAAGGCATCAATGTCACCATACGGCTCTGCACCCTGTGCTGTGGCATCTGGGCTCACACGGCTACTTTTATCCAGCAGCTTGAGATGAAGAGGCGATCCTTCTGAAACAGCCCCAAAAGGCAGAGCTGTTAAACTTGCATTTATGTTTTCCCGCACTGCAACTCCTGCCTCTGAAGGAATGGAAGTGTAATAAATAGCTGTATTTGGAGGGTAGAACGGCAAGTCTCTGCTTGCCATTAGCATTTCACTATCTGGTACAAAAGTCTTCAACTCTGGAAGAGTGTTGCTGTGTTGAGGGACAGTGCTCAATGGAGTCTTCTGCTGTGCTGTTTTTGAGATATCATATGGTGAAAACAGGACAGATAATGAAGGTGTTACCAAGACAGTTTCTAATGTTTCTCTTGGTGGCTCTACTGCATTAACTGAGTGATGATCTGTTAAAACTGCAAAGGACTTCAGTGGAGGAGTCCACTGTGCCTTTGGAAATGAGCTAATAAATTCATCGTCACTTACGAATGCCTCACTGCTTGCGACAGAGACATCTACTAACGGTGTACTTCTCCCTTCTGAAATCTTGACCATTTCTTCTTGGTTAAATAAAGTCACATCAAAAGGAGTAGTAACAGATGACAAAACTGTTTGAAGGAAATTACTTCCTTGGGACTCCAAAGTACTTTTTGCTAAGGCCATTTGTGTCCTGCTGCCTGATATGCTTTGGTGCACCACTGAGTCCATTGAGAAAAAGGAAAAATTTTGCTGCTCCAAGGCTCTCTCATCTAAATAAAGACGGAGAGAGAAAAACAAAAACAAAAAAACACCAGGTCAGCACAAATATTAAGATTTCAATGAACAAACCTCACACACCCACTATTTCTGGAGACAACTCCGAATTCAAGGCCTGAGACAAAACCTCTCAGGATATGAAAAACCTCCATCAGCAAGTCAGCACAAATAGTAACATTCCCTGTGAAACTCCATGCCCTAGAAATAAGCAGGACAACACGAGCTCCTCTCACTCTGCATCTGCAACATTATCTCTCCACAGCAACACTCCAGCAAGCGCCACAGTGGGGCGGAAAGTGGCTCTCTCTTACCTGTGCAAGGCTACAGCGCATGGCAGTTAATGGGCTCACAAAGGAAACAAACCAAAAAGGGCAACAAGGAACAACCCAGCGAAAAAATTTGGCATAACTTTAGGTCTTCTGCTTTCCTTTAGCATCACTTCATTTCCTCCTGTTTTGTTATTTCTTAATATTAGGCTCTCCAGCCGATCTGTTCTGATTCAAGGACCAGATCCTCTCTCTCACATCAAAAATGAGCGACACTTGTGAGAGATCAAGAAGGGTTCCCTTTAAGTAAGGCAAACGTGGACCTGGTATCAGCTACAGGAATTTGCTAAGTAACGTGTCCAGTAGTTATGCTGACACTGGCAGCCCTTTATTTAACTTCTGGCCTTTTAGCAGCCAGTGACAAACCGTTTCATCACAAAATTGCCATCTTTATTCACAACTGACTGCAGGACTACTCTGTTTATGGGCCGCCTGTAATAAAACTTTCACTGCTCCAGCTTGCCAAATTGAAGTCGCAATAGCTGGGTTCAAACACAGAGGAGAAAAAGCTGAGAATTCACAAGATTTTAACAAAATACTTGCAACATTTATATATGAGTATCATTTGCATAACTTGACTATAATTCCTCCTCTCTCACAGAAGTGTCCTTGGGTTACAGAGAAGATCTGTACATAAGCTTTTCCAACCATGGATGTGTTTTGCAGAGAAAAGATTGATTATTGCTCGAGTACTTTTCTGAAATGTCAAGACTGGATTAGTAGCCTTCACAGCTGAATATTGAAGGAAATCACAGAAAATTGCCACAGGATGTTTTCCAAGGATACACTCAAAGACTTTACCTTTAAATTCTCTATCCCGCCTGATCATCCTGTTTTCACATGGAAGCGTCCATGCAGTGCGCTGGAACCTACCGGCAATGCACATCTAAAAGGCTGGGGGGACAGGAATCCCATCCAGTTAATCCACCAGGGATCAGTTTAAAATAAAAACAGGCATACACAGTATGAAGTACCGGATGGTGATACAGTACACTGCTCAACTGTAACTACAATTGTAACCCTTCAGAGGATGCTGTGAGCCCCGTAACGCTGGTAGATCTTGCAGGAATAGCTCACCTATCTGTTACACACTGTTATCAGTCTAACACTTTCCAAAGGTGATAAACTGCTCTAATCAGCCCCTCCTCCCTGGACTGTTTGTTAATTTCCTTGACACAGTTTTTCAAGCGCTGACATACCAACTTGGTAAATTTTGAAGCTGCTGATCTGACAAAGCACCATTACAAGAATTAATGCACAGAGCTAATACCACTGTACCACTAATCACATCTAATCAAATATGAGCGCTGTGATTGTACACTTTATTTTACAGATCCCACGTGCAATGTTTTGCAGCATAGCAGATACTATTCTTTCAAGTAGCGCCAACCCATTTTTTCCTCCTGACGCTCACTGTAGCCATTGCCAGCTTTACGATACTTAATTGTGGTGTGATGATATATATAGATGTGTGTGTGT